GCCGCCGCCTGCCGCCGCGCCGCGGAGAGCTCCGTCCAGGTACGGGCCGGGCGCTGCGGGGGTGCCTGGGGGTTTGCTCGGCATCGGGGGTGCGGGAACGCCCATCTCCTGGGAGAGGCTGTTGAGAGGCTTCAAAGCCTGGGCTGGGGTTGACGGCCGGGATTTGTTCGTGTTGCAGGATTTCAAGGTGGGGAACCTCCTGGGGAAAGGCTCCTTCGCAGGGGTCTACAGAGCAGTATCCCTGAAAACCGGTCTGGAAGTGGCAATCAAAATGGTAAGGCAGCCAGCCAAGGAAGTCTGTTTTCTAAGAGACTGGATAAGGGCAAGTCGAAACAGGTCGAGGTTGTGCGGTTGGGCATTCATGCCTGGATTGCTTGTTTGTATGTAATGGATATTAGGATTTGGTCCTGAAAGATGAAGTACAACCAAATAGACTGTATTGATAACTAATGGAAATGCTTATAGCACTATTAAAACAACTTAAGCTCAAGTATTCAACATTGGGTGGACAATCAGCCCTATAATTCTAGTTCAGAAATTTGTAACCACATAAATTTCATTTAGAGTCCATGTGGCTGGAGAGGTTCTGAAAAAAATGCTATGTAAAACTTTCCTCACTGTCAGGACAAACTTTGTGAAGGGAATTTACACATCACAGGTGCTCTGCCAAATTCAATTATATATAATACTTTTATTTAGCCACCTCTTTAGCATTGACTGTGCTTAGCATATCTGTCTGGCAAAATCAGAATTAGGTTTCTCTGCTTAAGTATTTCAGAAAACTTTCTAATTGGTGTTGGTATTGAAAATGTTAAACTTGTCTACATTCAGACAGCTGCGTGTTCTTCCCCCTGTCGATGATACTGGTTCATTAAAAGCATATAGTAGGTTAAACTATGTGAAAACTTGATTATATTTGGAAGTTTTCAGGCAAACCTACATTGAACATCTGAAATCTCAAGTTCATTTGAAACTAGCATGTACATAATCAATGTTCAGTGCTTGAAAAATATTCTGTGATCCATTTACAGATAGATAAAAAAGCCATGCACAAAGTTGGAATGGTACAGAGGGTTCAAAATGAGGTGAAAATACATTGTCAGCTAAAGCATCCATCCATACTTGAGGTAAGAATCATGGTTTTGTGGAGACGATTGTGTATGTGACTTGATGCATGATCTACAAAATGTATTTTTTTGTTGTTGTTGTTTTATGTTCTAGCTTTATAACTATTTTGAAGATAGCAACTATGTATACCTGATACTTGAGATGTGTCACAATGGTGAAATGAGCAGATACATAAAGAACAGAAAGAAACCCTTTTCGGAAGAAGAAGGTGAGATTTATTTTTTAATAGGTAGTGCTCTTTGTATTAATGTTTTGGCTTATTCAATAAATATTTAATTCTAGTGAAAGGATATTTAAAACTGCTATTGCTCTGAAGCAGTTTGTATAGCTTAAAATCCTGTAATAATTGATAATCTAGAGATTAATTACTATTATACATATTCAGTTTAATTTCTGTATACTTTTGTTTTCTGTTTATGCCATTTTACAGTAGCTTGTGCTATTTGGTGGTTAAAAAAAGAGACAGTGAATTTGTAGAGGTATATATAAGGTAGAGCTTACCTTTGTACATAAAATTATATTGCAGTATAGGACAAGACTGGGAAGTTCCACAGAGGAAAACTGGCAGCTTCACATCTACAGATTTGTTTTCTTTGTGTTATACCTCTTTACCTCAGTATTACTATATTTGAAAGCCTTCAAGATTATAGTTTGCCTTAACCGGTATCATTGGAAATATTTACTGTGTTCCAAGGTGTTTGAAAATGGAGATAATGCAGGTCACTCTTGCTGGAGGGCTGAGTTAGCTACCCAATTTGACAAGCCATCTGGAATTTTTGAAGGGCTGGCAACTGAGGAGAAATTCTACTATGGTTTTACTTCTGTTTCTTATGGAAAGCATGGAAAATCCTAACTTTCCTTGACGGTTTATTCGAAGAGTAATTCTAAAACTTTTTGAATTGGCTATGTTACTCTTTTGAGTAGTGTTTTGAGCAAGAAGTCTTGCAAAAAAATCAATTGCAGTTATGAATTTGCTGTTTAATTTTCTTTCAGTTGAGAGAGAGGACTTCAGTAGAACATGGACCATGGAAAGCCTAATCAGAACAGTGCAATTAAAAAAAAAACCCAAACACCCAAACAAAACAAACACAAACCCCAACAAAACCAACCAACCAAACCCCCAAAAAACCCCAAAACCTGAAAAAAAAAAAAAAAAACCAAACCAAAACAGCAAGCTGTTGTGTGTACTGTTTGAGAGCACAGCTGAAAAAGCTATTCTGGTTTCAGCTGATGTGGATTCAGTGGTTATTGCCTCTGCTGCTTCCAGACTTACCATGCTGGTCATCTCTTGAACAGTTCTTCCAGTTTACCTGCTTCTCTATCAGTTCCTTAGAACATAGTGGTGTCATATTGCTTAAAGCAAAAAGCAGAAAGTTGATTACATCTCATTAGCATGACACTGAAACATGCTTGTAATGTCCTCATTATTAAAAAAAAAAAAAGCAAGATCAACAGCAGATTTAGTTTGTTATCTTCACAGCTATGATTTCAGTTATGTGACTAAAACACTTAATATTTGTTGTTGTTTTGACAGCCCGACACTTCTTGCATCAAATTATCACGGGTATGCTGTATCTTCATTCTCATGGAATACTGCACCGGGACCTCACCCTTTCTAATATCTTACTCACCAATAATATGAATGTCAAGATTGCTGATTTTGGACTAGCAACGCAGCTGAAAATGCCTCATGAAAAGCATTACACCATGTGTGGAACTCCAAATTACATTTCTCCAGAGATAGCCACGAGGAGTCCACATGGACTTGAATCTGATGTGTGGTCTTTGGGCTGTATGTTTTACACTCTCCTTATTGGAAAGCCACCTTTTGACACTGACACAGTCAAGAACACGCTGAATAAAGTAGTGTTAGCAGATTATGAAATGCCAGCCTTCTTATCAAGAGAGGCACAAGACCTTATACATAGGTTGCTTCGCAAGAATCCAGCAGATCGTTTGAGTCTTTCCTCAGTGTTGGATCATCCCTTTATGTCCAGGTGTAACTCTGCACGGAGTAAAGATTCGGGAACTTCAGAAGATTCTATGGACAGTGGAAACGCAACCATCTCTACGACCTTCATGGGCTCTTCCAGCATCAGTACCAGTGGTTGCTTGAAGGACAAGAAGAAGCTGTTAGTTGGACAGCCACTCCCAAATAAAATTACTTTTTTTCCTAAAAGCAAGAATTCCAGTAATACTTCATCCGTAGACGGAAGTGGTTCTTTTCACCAGTGGGGAATTCAGGGAAAAGAAATTGGCATAACTGGCAGGGGAAGAACCATGCAACTTCCTGAAGAGCGACCACATTCACGCTACCTGCGAAGAGCCCACTCTTCAGATAGGTCTGGCACATCCCATAGTCAGACTCAAGGCATAACAAATATTGTTGAGAGATGTCACTCTTTGGAGCTGCTTTCTAAGCCTAAAGTAGGAACAAGGGAAAACACGGAATGCTTTTCACCTGCAAACAGCTATACTGATATAGGAGAAATATTTAAGGAGAAGACTTCCAGTAGTTCTGGTTCCTTTGAAGGGCAAACATCTCCACCTGTAAAAGATCAACCGCAGTAAGGATCAGTTTTTACTAAGATGAAACTTGGAGCTGCTGCATATGTTAAATGCATGACTTTTCCTGTAACTAAGCTGTCGTAAGTGCCCAAAGTCTCTGCACTTGTGGCTTGAATACCACATAGGAGAGGGAGATAGTTGATGCTGCTGCTACGTAGAGGTTTACTGCCCCACTGTCCCTGTCTTGAAGTTTGCAGATGCCGTGCATCAGCTGGTTGGATTGTAGCTTTTATTTGTTCTGGTAATACTCTGTTATTGACTTGTGTCCATGTGCAGCAAGTTGAGCCTTTCCTTCCCCACAGTAACTGTAGCAGGGAACCTTGCGAATTCTCCTTTGTAGAAGAGACCTGAGTTAGGACAGGAGGCATTCAGAGTGTTACTATGGATCGTTTTACTTGCTGCTCTGGCTTTTTTTTTTTTTCTGTTCATCTTTAACCATGCCTTATGCTTGGACAAGATAAAGGAAAAAAACCCATACGAATTAAGTACAAGATTAGGTGATGGATTATAACACTGGTGTACTGGAAAGGAAAATAACACTCAAAAATAACTATCTGAAACTTAGTTCTGTCCTTAGTTGTAGTTGCTGGGTGAAAATCCTGCCTTCTTTCCGTACATTGATGGGCTTCCCCAGCTGATAGAAACCAACTCTGGTGTCAAATCTGCAAGTGATGCTAGGATGTTTTCTGTGGTGGTGGAGGCCACATCTTTGCCTTCTGTGCACTGCTGTGCAACGAGGGCCCTTCTTTGTCACAAACTTAACCTGTCTACGCGCAGAAGTTTGCTTTGTTTTTTCCATCAGCAGAATCAAAGAACACTTTCCTCTTTTAACATAAGGCCTGTTGCATATCTTGATTCTCGTGTTTCTCTCCATGTTAATAGTGGCAGCTTTGTGTGATGGTTTCGTATGTTTTTCTTTTCGCAAAATCAGTTCAGGGAAGATGAAAACAAGCACTTTGCCCTGTAGAAAAAGTAAAAGGAGTAAGAGGCTTTTCTTGACATAAGCTTCTATTCAGCAAGTTCAATAGGCATATGCATTCTTTCTAGTTTGAGAAATGTTTGATGAATCAAGAGATTACTTATACAAATGTTAACATAATGCTTACTTGTATTCCCCATGACTTTATGAAGTCACACTGAATGTAAATGTGACAGAATACTAATATGAGTGTGGGAATTAACTGAATGGTTACTACTTTTTTTACATAGTTGATTATTAGGAGAACCTCTTACATCTGTAGTTAGCCTGCACAGCAATCTTAAATGCAAGGTTCTAAGACCTAAATTAGATGCTTATATTCTGTGGAGTGGTGTTTGTGTGGGGGTTTTTTTTGTGGTAACTGAGTGCTTGCCAGTGCCAAAGTAGTCATCATCTCAAAAAGAACATGCAGACAGGCACAGGCTACAGAGATAGAAAACCTCCTGATTCTGCAGTAACTGGTTTTGTGTGTAATCTTTATTCTTCAACGTGTCGATTGTAGCTCAAGTTCACCTGTGACTACATATATGTCATTGTCTAAAAAGCTGATAAAAAACCTCTATAATCTTTGGGATTTACTATATTTTATATAAAACTCAAATTATTCCAGGTGATAAGCTTGCCTACATATTTCAGTTGCATATTTGTTATGCTGAGTGAGATCCACTGAGGTCATGGGCATCATCCCTGTGTCTTCTCTGAGGTTGTTTCCTATACAGTGAATTAAGAACTAGATGTAGGAACAGCTGCTGCTGACAGCATTATTAGTGGGGTTTTTTGTTCATCTTTGTCAGTTCCTAGAGTCTACTACTGAGTGCTAAAAGGCTTAAATTTGTGCTAAAAATTAATAATAACTTTTCATTCCATTTGGAAGCAATATCTTTTTTATGCTTTACCCAACGAACATTCCCCATGGAAAAAGCAGCATGTTCTATGCTATCTAGAGCTGCAAAATGCCACTTGCATGTCTTAAATCTTCTAAAAGTGTTGTGATTTCTGCAGCAGTAACATAATTTTTGTTGTGCAAGTGTCTGATGTAATCTTGATTACATGCGTAAATTTTATTTTGCAGCTCGAATTATCTCTGCCCAATGAAGCCCCAGGTTGGTTTGTTAGAGCAGAAGTCCCAGGCTGAAACAATGCAGCAGTGGCTTGGAAGCATGCAAACAAACGGTGTGTTACTAATCAGTTGTATATTTTTGCACTCCCGTTGGAGTAGTGACTTGTAACAGTTTCTGTGTTTTTCTTCTGTATTTTATTTCTTTAAACTTGTGACAGAAGGGATATCTGTATGGCCAAGTAACTATGATACCAGAGTGAAATGCTGGCATCGAAATAACAGCAATTGGATCTTAACACAGGTTACTGTAGACATACTTTTTTTTTTAAAAATGAAAAGCATGGGAGACCCTAAACTGACTTGTCACTGCAAAAAAATTGACACAGATATTGAACGAGGCAAAATGATTGCCGGCATCACTAAACTTGTAGAATCATTCTTAAGCAAGAAATATCCCATTGAAAACATTGTTTTGTTTTCTCTTTTGGATTAAGCTGTAATATTTTAATTTCCTGAGGTAGCAATTAGTTTCAGAAGGTTTTGTAGCTACTGTTCCTCTTAAGCTGTTGGGTTGGTATAATGAACTGTATGTAACTGCCTTCATAAGAGTGAAGAAATGGTACATTCGTTTTGAACACTTGGCTTCTTAAAACGAGGTCATTCTCTTCTTTTAGTATTTTAGCCAAAAAAAAAAGAGAAAACAATTCTAGAACCTACCATAATTATTCAGTTGTGACCTGAAATGTGTAGGTATAAATACATGACAAAAGATTGGTAGGTTGCTCAAAAGCCCTGTTAATTTAGTTGTACAAATGCACCTTAAGAGAAAAATGGGACTTCAGTGAATGAGAAAGATGATGAGGCTGCAGAAGGAGAGGTGGAGGAAAGGACAAAAGACACAGAAGGGAAGGAGGTGTTCTTTGTCATGCATCATGTTACATCATTTACAAATAATGTAATTTAATCGTAAAACTAAATCACAAATCCATTCTGGCCTTTTTTGTTTTGGTATTACTGGACTCCTTCCTTTCCTGTCTCCGGAGAGCTGGAATTATATGACATATGGTCTGAATAATCCTACTTAATTTTTGGTTCCTTCTCAACTGTTCTGCAACATGGCAGGAGTGCAGCACTTTTGTGGGTGAGGTGAAAGTTCATCAAGGGCTTAAATATCAAAACTAGGGAAGCAGTTATAGGAAGTTGAAATATAAAAATAGGTTTTGTCTTTTAACAAGTGACTGGAAATAAAACAAGGGTTTTGGAGCATGCATTTAACATCTTGAGTACTTAAAATCTCTGGTTGATGCTAAAACATTAGTTAGATAACCTGAAGCTTAAATGAAACTTGGTACTCCTGGTTTTCTGAATAACAGGTAAAGTGTATTTCAACAGATTAAACTAATTCTTGTAAACTAATTCTTGTTCAAGTATCTATTTGAAATCTTAGTTATATGTTAAGACTGAAGGCCATCGTAACTGAAATCTAGTAAACAGTTTATTTCAAGTAACACTGGAATTTTGTTAGCCCTGGTCTTGTTTGGTACTAAAGTCATATCCTGGTTACTTGGATTGAGGATCGAAGAAATCCTGTTCTCCACTTAAATAAGCCTTCTAAGATAATATTTGAAAAGCTTTTAAAAACATAATAGCTTTTTTTCTGACTCTTTGAGTCTACAATGTACCTTTATGATGCTTTCAGTTCCGCTAGGACCACCTGCAGACCTACCTGGCAACAGTAATGCACATGGAGGTTTTCGGTATCATCTGGATGTGCAGCAAGATGCACCAAGAAATGCATGGAACACCTTAAAAGATAAAAGGAATCATGATGCATCTGTCGACTGTCCGCATTCTTTAAACCAGAGAAACCCAAGGAAATACATTCCTGGAGTTCTCTGCAAATCTGACACAATTCAACCATCTTCTACATGTGGCCTTTGGTCAGCTTCAGAAAAAAACCAAATGTGGGTCCAAGAACCAGCAGCACATCAGAAACCTACCCTGCGAAGTACAGTATCACCTCTCAACGCTCTCAGGCTAAAACCAATCAGGCAAAAAACAAAAAATGCAGTGGTGCGTATCAGTTCTTAAAATGGAAACAACTTAATTATTAAATATAGGGTGACTATCTCTTAAAAATCACTTGGTAAACTAGATGCATTTGTTTTTGTAAAGCTTTATCTATAATAATTTAATTCGAAGTTATATTAATAAGATGTATCTTGGTTTTCGTACATGGAATACTGTAACCTTGTGGCAACTTCCTGCAAATAGTGACATGGCATTGCTCCTACCTTCCAAGCGAAGAAACTGTAGATCGATATAACAAACATTAAATGCATATCTACCTCCTACAGTTCTAAAACTCTGTACTGCTCAGGTGTACAAGTTGGATGTTTAAACTTTCAACCTCTAACTATGTCAAACACATCACACCTTTACAGAGCAGATAAATGATTGGATTAGAAATGAAAATAGTCTTGCTCTCAGGTAAAAACTTGAATCTTTTTCCTATAGTGCTGCTTTTCCCCTGTCTTGTGGGTGGGAGAGCAAAGCAAATACCATTAATCCTTACTGAACACATGCATTTTCTGGTTGGTTTGTTCCCGGTATCACCCTTCTGCCTTTTGTTTCATTTCTTAGTCTTCCTCATCCTCTTCTGTTTCCCCCTGCCCCTCAGTTTGTTTTTTTTGAAAAAGAGCATAATAGAGCAGATGTGTCTTCATTTGATTTGGCGCTTAAGAAGCCGCACCCTCGCTGGCCAGGCTTGAACCTTCAGTTGCGTCAAAGCGTTCTCTTCTAATCGCACAAGGTACTGTGAGAATCACTTAGAAGTTTGCAGTGCATTCAAGGAAGAAGAAAATCTTTTTTTAAAACTTTTGTGGAAAGAAGTGCTATCTTATTTTGCCAGAAAGTAAAGGTCTTTTTGTTTAACTTGTATGTTTAATATATTTCAGGTGAGCATTTTAGATACTGGGGAAGTGTGTATGGAGTTTCTAAAAGAACACCATTCACAAGAACTTGTGAAAGAAGTTGTCAGAATATCTTGTGATGGAAGTGTGGTGAGTATGTTTTCAATTTCTTCACTGTTGTATAAAGGGCTTAGAGTATTCTGTTCTTTCCGAGTTGTGTTTTTTTTTTTGTTTAAGTGATTATTTGTTTGGAAATGCAATATACTCAGATGTAAACTCCTTTTTTCCCCTCTGTAGTACAGCCATACAAATATAGGTAGCAAGCAGTTATTTCAGAGCAAAATTGGACTTGACTTTTGGAACAGATGGAGTATTGTTGAAAAACTGCTGTTGTTAAATAATTACTTAGAGGAATAAAGCATCCATGGTAACTAATTAAACTGTGACTTTTTTCCATACCTGTTGAATTAAGGAGTGCTGTAGTAAGTTGCAACTGTGAACACTTTTTTTTCTTCCCTTTTTGTAGATTGCAGTTTATCATCCAAATGAAGGAAGAGGTTTCCTTCTTGATGACAGACCTCCTGCTCCTCCTGAAGACACCTGCATGTATAATTTTGACAACTTGCCAGGTAACCTGAAATTTATTCTAAAATTATGATGATTAATGTGATTTCTAGTGAATCTTGTTTGAGACTTTTTAGCTTTTAGCCATTACTTTTCAGGTAATTGTGAAGATAAAACTTTCAGAATAAGATTCAAATTATAGGTTAACTGGAAACTGTATTTTGAAACTTTACAAGAAAGTGTAAACTCACAGGTTTTAAGTTATTTTATATGGAAGTTTTAAGGAGTCACTCCTTTACATTTAGTATACTAAAATCAAAGCTTTCATATTCTTCGCGTTTGTATTGGAAACTGTTTAAATATGAATGGAAGAAATATTATCAAGCCAATTTTAAACCAGAGCAAGTTTACTTTGTGCTTCCTAATACTCATAACTTGGAGGGGAAGGGAAAAATATATACTCAAATGTGTTGAGAGAGTAATGTAGGGAGCTGAAGAACAAATATAAGCCAACTATAAGTTCTTAAGAGATAAGCAGGCTTCTCTACTAATTAGAGATCAAAGGCAGGATTTACTGAAAGCCAGGAAGCCAGCCGGACTGTGATATCTAGTTAAGTGGTATATGCAGCACTCTGACATGTTGTTTAGGTTCTGAATGTGATATCTAGTTAAGTGGTATATGCAGCACTTACTATGTTGTTTAGGTTCTGAACTAATTGAAGCTATTGAAAATGCACACTTTTCTAGAAGTTGATTGAAATAAGTCAGTTTCTTCGAACATACTTCTGTAAAGTACTTAAGTATTACTCACAACCTTCAGCTATCAAATATATATTTTAAATTTATTCTCTCCAAACTGGTGCACAGTGTCTCATCTGATGACTTTTTGATAAAAGTTTTTAAACTTTCTTTTTTAGAAAAGTACTGGAAAAAATACCAGTATGCAGCCAAGTTTGTGCAGTTGGTAAGAACAAAAACCCCCAAAGTTACATTCTATACGAGATATGCCAAGTGCATGTTGATGGAAAATTCACCCTCTGCAGATGTTGAAATTTGTTTTTATGATGGTATGTATTCATTTTTGCAGTTATGCCAATAGTTATATGATGTTACTAAAGCTGTACTAAAATATTTCCGAACAATGAACACTTCAGATTGAAGAAAATAGTAGAAACTTCTTTTTTAGCCACATGGCCCTTATTCTAGCACTTGCAGATCAGTTTTATTCATTAGTTCCTTACTGATATCTTCAGGGAGTAGATGATGCAAAAGTGTTATTTAAACTACACCTTGTGTGTTATTCATCAGCTCCTCTTTGCATCTACATGTGGTAGTTAACCTGCTTAAATGGGCGTCCCTACTCCAAGCTTTCCATTGTTAACTGACGTAATGGTATTGCCAAGAACACTCACTGGAGACAGCAGCTGGCTGCCTTCTCCAGCTCTGCCCTTCATAAACAGACTGCACTGACAGTTGTTT